TCAGAGTCCTCTGACTAATAAGGCCCTCAGAGACTGGAGGCAAGGATTAGGAGACAGAAAAGAATTTCAATAAATGAGCAACCCCCTAGGGTGGCCTATTATAGCAACACTTCATATATGTACATATGCATAGTCCACATATGTACAATCTACATATGTGTATATGTATACATTTTTTTTCTTCTTTGAGACAGGGTTTCATTATGTAGACTAGCTGGCCTGGAACTATGTAGAAGAGACTGGCCTTGAACTTAAGAGATCCTCCTGCCTCTTCCTCCCAAGTTCTGGGATTAAAGACATGTGCCAACATGCCTAGTCTGTACAGACTCTATTTCCCAAAGATTGCCATGACTATATTTCCTATCTCTCATGCTCTTCTATGTGATACTCATACTATTAAGATAAGGAGTCTGAGAGGCATGCTGGTGCACACCTGTAATCCCAGCACTCAGGAGGCAAGAGATAGGAGATCACCATAAATTCCAGGCCAGTCTGAGTTACATCATGAGAACCTGTCTCAAAAAGAAACAAAGATACAAGGTTCTACACATCCTCTCCTTGAATTTCGGTAATTTTCAACTCTCCAGTAAATAAAGAATGCTGTTAGAATAAGGTCACATGGTTTCAGGATAGATGTCAGAAAAAGCAATGCAGTTCTGACTTGTTTGCTCTGAAGCCTTAACTGTCACTAAAAAACTCCTAATACTCTCCCAACAAATCTCATGATCCTTTTTGTTTTATGAGGTGCTGGGAATTAAATCGAGGGTCTCACATGTGCTAGGCAAGTGCTCTACCATTAAGCTATATTCCCAGCCCTCCACAAACATTTCTTTAAAGATATTTATTTTTAATTATGTGTGTGCATGCATGCACATGCATGTGTGTGCAGGTGTCTGTGGAGGGCAAAAGTGAACATCAGATACCCTTGAACTGGAGTTACAAGGAACTGTGAGTTGCCTGGTGTGGGTGCTAAGAACCAAACCTGGGTCCTCTAGACTCAAGTAGCAAGCACTCTTAACTGGTGAACCATCTCTCCAACCCCCACTGACATTATTTTAGGTAACAAAATTTTGTTTTATCCCTCTCCTTATATGTAAGGATTAGTAATTACTATTGAACAGAAACATTAAAGAGGTACTTGAAAAAAAATGTATCCTTAAAAATTTAGCCCCATCTTCTATGATAGAATAAGTTTGTTGTACTTTAATTTTTAATCTGTAAAGCTTAAGAGCTTTCTATTCAGAAATCTAATATACATTCAAAGTAATTTTAATACATGCTTCTGGAATGTTCTAAAATGACATGGAAAAGACACTGGTATGTAAAACAGCAGTGGATTCTAGCTTTGAAAGTATCAAGTATTTAATATCACTGCCATGTAGAAGTAAATTCAAAGAAGAAAAAGGGGAAAGGATAAGAGTAGCCTATCTACATACTTCTGTAGAGCATGTTTCACTCTTCAGACACTTTTAAAAGGAACGTGATACTCAAACTTTCACACTGGACTGGAGATGTAGCCCAGTGCTAGTGTTGCCTAGCATGGACAAGACCTGCAGTCAATCCCAGACACCGAGGGAAAAGGTTCATACTGTATGGAAAGTTGGAGTCATCAGCAAATTAGTAAGAAATAGGAAAAGTTTATGCAGAGAAAGATCAAAGTCAAGATATTAAGGGACATCTCTGTTTAAGAGTCATGTTGAATGCCGGGCGGTGGTGGCGCACGCCTTTAATCCCAGCACTCGGGAGGCAGAGCCAGGCGGATCTCTGTGAGTTCGAGGTCAGCCTGGGCTACCGAGTGAGTTCCAGGAAAGGCGCAAAGCTACACAGAGAAACCCTGTCTCGAAAAACTAAAAAAGAGTCACGTTGAGTGTGGTGGCTTATATCTTTAGTCTCAGCACTTGAGAGACAGAGACAGACAGGTGTCTGGGAGTCTGATGCCAACCTGGCCTTCAGAGCAAGCTACAGGCCAACTAAAAGCATAGTAACTAGCCGTCTCAAGAGAGAAAAAAAGTCATGTAAAGGAAAATGAATTCAAGAAGAGCATTCATTCATTCATCAAACATTTATTGACTATGAACATTTACTGTGGCCCAGGCACTAGAAGTCACCATCCTTCACAAGATAAAGATGGCTGCACAATTAACAGAGATCATCTACTGGGGAAATAGACAAGTTGAAATCAACAGAGTAATATGGACATTCCTAACCAGGACCCAAAGAGGACAAGAAAGTCTTCCCAAAAGCTAAAAACCAGAGTAAACCAGGCAAGAAGGAGTCAGTGAGTGAGGGAGGCGTGAAGAAAGATGGCTCCTGTCCAAAAGACATCATGCCGAAAGATAGCATAGCACACTCAAGAAAAGGCAAGGTAGGGCCCTGGGGAGACGGCTCAGATGGCAAAGTGCTTTACTGTACAAGCATGAAGACTGAGTTCAGATCTCAGTCTTGTAAAAAGCCAAGCACACTGGCACACACCCGTAATCACGACACAAGGAAGGCTGAGACAGGAGGTGCACAAACAGACAAGCAGGTGCACACACATTCACATTTTTTGAGACACAATCTCAATCAGTATTGTGTGTGTGTGTGTGTGTGTGTGCGCGCGTAAGATATAGACAAAGTGAGTCAGAGTGAATAGTAGAGAGTTTAGAGAGCCTCCGAGATATCCCAGTTATCTATTAGGAGTTAGATATTCAGGACAACTAAATTGCAAGGCACGTTAGGTCATGCCCATAATCCCAGCACCTGGGAGGCTAAGGTAGGAAAATCTCCAGTAGTTCAATGCCAGCCTATGATACACAGTCTAAAGACCATCTCTAAATAAACAAAATGTATTCAAGTCATCCACAAGTGGACAGTAAATGCAAGCATGGAGAATGGATTAGATCATCCGGAGAATATAAACAATAATAAGTAATAAGTAAAAGAAAAAGTAATGATTAAGTGGAAGTTACGTAGCAGAACAGATGAGTAGCTTTCAGGAGGAAATCATGAACAATTTTGAATACCACAAAAGTAGGTGAGAGTTGGGTGGGTGAATAATGTTTGTCTGTCTGGTTGGTTGGTTTTTGGACTCCAATTTAAAGATAATCCTCCAGATGTAGCCTTCTGTGAGCTCCCACAACTGACCTAAATAAGACTTCAAGTATCTATCAAAGTTATCAAGTAAGAAACCACAGACCACCCAGAAAAAGCTGTTCTAATATAGGAGCATCAACAAAATCAGATTATAATGGGTCGCAGAGGTCCTGAGATGGAAACTGGAAACATTTTTAGGGCTGGTAAAATAGCTCCAGGGGTAAAGATGACTGCCACCTAACCTGAGGACCTGAGTTCAAACCCCAGGACCTATATGGTATGTGCCACAAGTGCACCCACATACATATATACAAAATAAATAAATGTAATCGAGATTTTAAAGCTTCTACATTTCCTTCAAGATAGAGTAATATAAGAGGATATAATGATTCTAATAGATTTCCATGAAATATAAATAAAATTGAGACGTTTAAGAAATTTAAAAAGCTGAAGCTTTTGAGTCTATTATCTCCACGAGAAAAGGAAAGATGTGTAGGGATGGCCACAAAGTTGGGAGCTGGAATAAAATATCTGAACACAGAGAAGTAAAGAGGGAGCTTTAAAAAGAAATACAGCCGGGCGGTGGTGGCGCACGCCTTTAATCCCAGCACTCGGGAGGCAGAGCCAGGCGGATCTCTGTGAGTTCAAGGCCAGCCTGGGCTACCAAGTGAGTTCCAGGAAAAGGCGCAAAGCTACACAGAGAAACCCTGTCTCGAAAAACGAAAAAAAAAAAAAAGAAATACAACATGAGGCTCAAGCCTTTAATCTCAGCACTCAAGGGACAGAGATAGGAAGATCTCTGACTGAGTTCCAAACCAGCCTGTTATAGGATACCCGGAGGGAGAGGGGGGAACCCACAATAACATATAATAAAATGAGTAGGATTAAGAAGTGTACATATGAAAAGAAAAGTGAAGACATGTTGTCCTTGTGAAATACATACCATCCAAGAACTGTGTCATCCCATGGTAAGAGACCACTTAAAGGCCATCTTTTAAGGCGTTTACTTAAAATGAAGACAGTGTGAAGGAATGTCAACCCAGAAACCATTCTTTGCCCCCAATATTTCCAGGGTATAACAATATCTAGCACCAAGACGTGGTCAAAACTTGAGCTCAGGAATATGAATATGGCTCAGAAGTAGAGTACGTGCAGGTCCAGGGTTCAATCCCCTGTACCGTAAATAATAATAATAAAATAATAATAATAATAATAATAATAATAATTCGACTTAATAACCAATATTCAAGTCGACTGGGATGAAAAGGAAATCAACCAACGTCAAAACACCCGAAAGTTAATGAGCATTTGCACACTATGTCGATTCTGGAAGGTGATAGCAGATTTAACAGGAGGCCATGCAGAGAGCAATCAAGACACCCCTAGGTTCCCTGAGCCGACACTGCCAGCCAGCCCAGCTAAAGCGTAGGAACAGGGCTGCGGGGTGCGCGCCACGGCCGGGACGGGGTAGCAGGCGCAGACCCTTCATCCCTGCAGGTCCCCCGCCGGACCGCCTAGGCGGCTACCGCGAGGCGTGTCTTACGTGGTCACCTACCCTCGTCGGCGTCATACATCTTGGCCAAAGGTCTCTGGACCGCTCAACTCGAATTCACGAAGCCGGAGACGAAAACGGCAGCGGCGAACTCTTGAGAGCCAGAACAAGCAATTTCCGTCTCCGGCGTTCTCCCAGAATCCTCGGCGTCCAAACCGGAGGCGGGGAGAGCGGGGGGGGGGGGGGGGGCGGGGTTGTGTGAGACTTGCGCCTGCGCGAACGGCAGGCAAGGCGGGCAAAGCCTGGCGGGGGCTCGAAGTGCGCAAGCGCCAATGACGGGTCGCGGGCTGCCGCTGAAGACAGCTCCCTCTTAGGCCGGAAGTTGCATCCAGTTCCTGAAAAGTTTCTTGTTGCGTGCTTTTTTTTTTTTTTTTTTATTTTTTAGTGCTGTTGCACAAATGACACTCGCTCTGTGTACAGTAGATGTATGAAAGAGGAGCTCTGGGCGTGGGCTGAGCGCTGACGACGCTCTCCCGCCGACCCGGCTCGACTTGAGATGACTTCTCGGGTCTCGGAGCTCTCATCGCGAGAAAGCTTAGGCCTAGTCCCGCCGTTGGACAGTTCCCTCGCGTCTAGTCTCCCGAGGGACGAGCTTCGCGGGCACTCGCGCGGGCGCGCGCACGGGGAGGCTCCGCCCCCCTCCCCGGCCGTCCGCATGCTGCCCGCGCGCCTGGCTCGCCGGCTGCTGTGCGGGTTCCTGCGGGGCCCGGCGGCAGCCGCCGCGGGCCACGGCCCTGCACGGTGGCTCCTGGGAGGGGAGCGGGAGGCCGCTTTCTCCCAGAGCTCATCATCCCTGGGCCGCCGGCTTCCTCCTAGCTCCACGGCGACCGAGGACTACGGAGAAGGCCCCGACACGGAGGAGCGCTTTCTGTTCCCGGAGTACGTCCCGGAGCAGGACCCCGAGGAACAGCTGAGAGAGCTGCGGGAATTGCAGCAGCGGCAGCGGGATGAGGAGCGACAGAGGTTGCAGCGGCGGGAGGAGCGGCTTCAGCAGAAGCTGCGGGCTGGCCTCCGGACGCTGCAGGTCCCCGAGCTTCCAGACGCCACCGTGCCGCCGCCCAGCGACATCTACTGCTCGGGCTGCGGGGCCGAGCTGCACTGCCAGCACCCCAGCCTGCCCGGCTACCTGCCGGAGGACAAGTTCCGCGGTGCGACCCAGGCGATCGGCGGCCCGGCGCGGACCGTGTGCCAACGCTGCTGGCTGCTGGTGCATCACCGACGTGCCCTGCGCCTGCAGGTGAATCGCGAGCAGTATCTGGAGCTAGTGAGCGCGGCGCTGCGGCGGCCGGGCCCTGCTCTGGTGCTCTATATGGTGGACCTGCTCGACCTGCCGGACGCCTTGCTGCCCGAGCTGCCCAAGCTGGTGGGGCCCAAGCAGGTCTTCGTGCTGGGGAACAAAGTGGATCTGCTGCCCCAGGACGCGCCCGGCTACTTGCAGCGGCTGCGGCAGCGGCTGTGGGACGATTGCATCGGCGCCGGGCTCGTGGTGGCCCCTGGCCACCGAGGACCGCAGTACCCTACCGGGGGTGAGCCTCGGGACGAGAAAAAGCATCCGAATCCGTCGACCAGGTCCGGCACCGTGGTCAAGGACGTGCGGCTGATCAGCGCCAAGACCGGCTATGGAGTTGAAGAACTGATCTCTGCGCTTCAGCGCTCCTGGCGCTACCGCGGCGACGTCTACCTGGTGGGCACCACGAACGCCGGCAAGTCCACTCTCTTCAACACGCTCTTGGAGTCTGATTACTGCACCGCCAAGGGCTCCGAAGCCATCGACAGGGCCACCATCTCCCCCTGGCCAGGTGAGGTCCCATTGTTGAGAAATAGGCTTGACCCATCCACCCTTAAAAGTCCACCTTGAGTTGTCTGGAGTCGTCCCTTTAAAAATTTTACCCCCACTTTGCTCATGCCTCTTGTGACCGTTTAGTGCTTGCGAATTCAATACGTTTGGTTTTCTTTCTTTTTTTTTTTTTTTAAAGAGTTATTTTGCATACAGTACCCTACCAGTGTGTATGCTTGCAGGTCAGAAGAGGGCACCTGATCTCATTACAAGTGGTTGTGAGCCACCACGTGGTTGTTGGGAATTGAACTCAGGACCTGCAGGTCAGAAGAGGGCACCAGATCTCATTACAGATGGTTGTGAGCCACCACGAGGTTGTTGGGAATTGAACTCAGGACCTCGGGAAGAGCAGCCAGTGCTCTTAACCTCTGAGCCATCTCTCCAGCCCCACATTTGATTTTTTTTTTTTTTTTTTCGGTTTTTTGAGACAGGGTTTCTCTGTGTAGCTTTGCGCCTTTCCTGGAACTCACTTGGTAGTCCAGGCTGGCCTAGAAATGTTTCTAGAAGGGCTGGGGATAAAGCTTGGTTGCTAAAGTGCTTCGCTTGCATGCCCAAAGCCTGAGTTAGTGTGCAGTACCACATAAACGAGGTGTGGTGGCAAACTTCTGTATCCCCAGCACTGGGGAGGTGGAGACAGGAGGATCAGCAGGCCATCAAAGCCATCGACGGCTACATAACTGGAGGCTAATGTGAGGTAGATACATAAGCCACTGTCTATACAAAAAAAGAAGAAGAAGAAAAGGATCTGTGTTCTTCTTACTCTAAGACTCTTCTTCACCCCTTGGATTTATTTATTCTTGGGCTGTTATACTAGACATATGAAGGAGTTGATGCGGTTTGGTGTGGAGATTTCTCGAGAAGAAATGTCAGTGTTCTGAGTTAAAGAAACTAATAGGTTGGCATGGTGGTTCTGTCTGTCCGTCTGTCTGTCTGTCTGTCATCACAACGCTGGGGAGGCAGAGCCTGAGGATGCGTACCAAGAGCCTGGCTGAAGGAAGAAGCTAAAGGGAAACGTATGTACTTGGAGAGTTACAGTCTTAGGAATTAGCTCAACAGAATTTTGTCCCCTTCAAACCAGAGTTTAACTTCTGTTAGCTGCCCTTTGGCACTTCACACTTAATACTGGTGAAGCAGGTAAAACAGACTTGCAAAATTTGTACCCAGATTCTGAGTGAGCCTGTGACCCAGTCTCTAGCCCTATTTCCTCATTTGTAAAGTGGAAATAATGACATGGTGGTTGCCGTGAAGGTTAAATTAAATAAATCTGAAATGTTTGGGGTTTTTTGAAACACTTACTCTTGGTATTTCAGGTACTACATTAAACCTCCTGAAGTTTCCTATTTGCAACCCAACACCTTACAGGATGTTCAGAAGACAAAAAAGGCTTAAAGAGGAGGCAACCAAAGCCGAAGAAGACCTTAGTGAGCAAGAACAAAGTCAGCTCAACCAACTGAAAAAGCACAGTTACGTAGTAGGTATGCATCCCCCCTCTGTAGGAAAACTCTTCCTGGGTCCATGACAAAGTTGTCCTGAACCGTGCAGTGCACCCATTTTCTGCAGGAAGAGACGTCCTTCCCTAGTTTGGAATATAGGCTTTTTGTAGGAAAGGTTACTATTGCTTGGAAACCCAAACTAGCAGAGGCTGTAAAATCTTTAGCTAGGTGTCCATCTCCTTGATCTCTTCTGATTTCATTAATGGAAAAGAAGGGATTCCTAACACCACCTGACTAAAGTACATAGCCTGAAACACAACTGACCGTGCAAGAGAATGACTCCCGTTACCTTCAAAAAAGAAGACAAAGGTGTCCTCATCCCAGAGTTTCATATTTATACACGTAAATGGTGTCTTCAGGGCCTGGCGTAGTGGTTCATGCCTTTAGTCCCGGCAGAGGCAAGTGGATCTCTGTGAGTTCAAGGCATTCCTGGTCTACATAGAGAGTTCCAGGACAGCCAGAGCTACATATTGAGACCCTGTCTCTGAGGTGGGAAGGTCTTTAGGAGTGTCAGATACACACCTGTAATCCCAACACTTGGGAGTTTTTTTTTTTAAAAACCTCAGTTCCATGGTAATTTTGAGGCAAGCCTGGACTACATGAGATCTTTTCCAAAATATAACAACCAAGATAAATACATGTGTGTGTGTGTGTGTGTGTGTGTGTGTGTGTGTGTGTGAGAGAGAGAGAGAGAGAGAGAGAGATCTGTTACCTATCACTATAGAAGCTGAGGAGAGAAAAATCATAAATTTAACACCATCTTGAACTACGTACAGAGAACCCATCACAAAAATTTTTCATATGCCCCAGAATCAAAGCATTAAAGGAATGTCTGATAACCTCGGTTTAATTTGTTCTAGGAAGAGTTGGGAGAACATTCTGGCACTCCACAGAACAGAAGGAAGAAGTTCCCTTTGAGTTTGATGCCGACTCCTTGGCCTTTGACATGGGAAATGAACCTGTTGTGGCTGTGCACCAACATACCAGACAAGTAGAACTGACCCCAGAAGACGTGAAAGATGCCCACTGGTTTTATGACACCCCAGGGATTACAAAAGAAAACTGTGTATGTATGCGGTTTCTTTTAGAAATATTTACTTTTCATTGTAGATGTACTGTCTTAACTGGCCGAAAACAAGAGGTGGGCTTCCGTCTTAAAACTCGATTCCAGTTTCTTTATAAAGGCAGTTCAAGGATGACTCTATGTGCCGTCAGATTCTGTATCCATTTAGTTGACATCCTGTAGGCAAACAACAATATTAACATTGTGGTTATTACCCTAGGGAAACACTGAGCTAAATCCCCAATCCCGTGAATTTATTTTTTAATGAATTTTATCTTCCTTAAATCTTATCAGAATCTGGTAACCCTTATCTTTCCTTTTCTGTTTTTCTTCAGTCTCTTTAATAACTTTGATCCTGTGGTTGGAGAGACATCTTGGTGGTTAATACTGCCTGCTGTTGGGCTGTAGACACTGTTGCTCTTCCAGAGGAGCCAAGTCAGTTCCCAGTACCCACAACCTCCTATAACTCCAGTTCTAGGGCATCTAATGCCCTCTGCAGGCACCCACATACAGGCATACACAAATCTTTAAAAAACAAAATAGCCTCTGGTCCTAACAAGCCAAGATGCACAACACTGATGTTCTAACAAATGTTCGGGAGAAATAGGATCTTCAAGTTATGAACTTGTTCAGAAAGTAGAAGGACCATTTTGCTGTTTGGTTTGGTTTGGAGAAAAGGGGTGTTTTGTTTTTTGAGACGTGGTCTTGGGAATACTACACAGTCCAGGCTAGCCTAGAACTGTGGCAGTCCTCCTGTCTCAGCCTCCCAGAGCTGGGGTTTGTAGATATGAACCATTTTTCATTTGGTGCTTGAATGCTTAATCCTTAGGACCTGAGATTACATTGTCCATCATTTAAAGCTGGAGCTACTGTTACCTGGATCCTTGAGCATACATTTCCATTCTTAGTGACCCGATAGTATTTTAGGGTGCACACCAATTTTGACACTTGGAAGAGTAGTACTGTCACAGGAAAGTCTTACATACCTATCACATTATTTTGCCACTGTTTAATACACAGCTGTGAAAGGAGTAGAATAATAGTTAATTTAGAGATATATAATTTTATGTGTGGCTAATGAACATAATTTGGTTTATCATAAAATCTGAACTTTTTTTCAGTACTTAATTTCATAAGTAAATCACAACATATATTGAATGAAAGTAGTCTTCTAAATAAATCTTGTCTTTTGCTTTACAGATTTTAAATCTTCTAACAGAGAAAGAAGTAGATGTTGTTTTGCCAACACATTCTATTGTACCAAGAACCTTTATTCTCAAACCAAGGATGGTTCTATTTTTGGGTGCTATAGCCCGAATAGATTTCCTACAGGTAAGAAAAATCTATGCTATTGAAAAATGAACAAGTAGGGGCTGGAGAGATGGCTCAGAGGTTAAGAGCACTGGTTGCTCTTCCCGAGGTCAATTCCCAGCAACCACATGGTGGCTCACAACCATCTGTAATGAGATCTGGTGCCCTCTTCTGGCCTGCAGGGATATGTGCAGGCAGAACACTGTATGCATGATAATTAAATCTTTAAAAATGAGCAAGTATTAGATGCCCTTCAGGAACGCAGATGAGATTGACATGAAGAGATTGACAAAATATTGATATAACTAAGTCCTATCTGTTGCTCGCTTTGTTTTGCACATATGCAAATGTTTACAGTAAAAATAGGGCAGGGGAGAAGTGGGCCAAAAAGAGGGAACAGTACTGTGTTAAGATCTGTAAAACTGGTGCCAGAGAAGATGGCTCAGCAGTTAAGAGTGCTTGCTACCCGATCAGAGGAACGTAGTTCAGCTCCCAGCCCCACACTGGGCAGCTCACCACCACTATAGTTCCTGGGAATCTGTGGGCGCCTGGATTCATACGAACTTAGCCCCACATAAACACACATATATACATAATTTTAAAAATTAAAGTAAATCTAAAAGTATTTTTAATAAATATTTTTATTTATTTTTAATTTTTAAGAAACCCTATTTCAAAGGGGGCGGGCAGGGTTTGGTGGCACCCTTTAATCCCAGCATTCCAGAGGCAGAGCTGTAGATCTCAGTGGTCCAGCCTGATCTAGAAAGTGAGACCCTGTCTCAAAAAAATAAAAAAATAAATAAAAATAAAAACTACCACTGATAAGATAGTGAATCCCTTATATTAACTTAGCTTTTTGTTATTATTGTTTCTGATTGGGGTTTTTGTTGTTGTTGTTGTTGTTGGTTGGTTGGTTTTGGTTTTGGTTTTTCAGGACAGGGTCTCTCTGTGTATCCCTGACTGTCCTGGAACTCATTTTGTAGAACAGGCTGGCCTTGAACTCAGGGGGCCTTCTGAATGCTGGAATTAAAGACATGGACCACCACCGCTTGGCACTGTAGCTTAGCATTTAAGAAGAGATACTATCCATTTCCTATATTGTTTCACATGGAAATTATACATCTAGTTAGGCCTAAGGTTAGTATCCATTAAAGTCTGTACTTCTTTGTATACTCTGATATACTATAATATTTTGCTTAGTGTCCACTTACATAGTATTATTCTGGGGATCTTAGGGAATTGCTTTCCATTTTTTCCAAAGTTGAGAAGAAAAAAGGAAAATGAAACATGGATATATATATTCAACGGGATGCAACTTACAGCCCATTGCCAAAGAACATTTCTTGACTTTTGTTGAAAAATTAGCCATGTATTATCTAGAACCCTTATACATGTTATTAAAGTCATGGTGTTAATATTTTAGACCTAACTACATAGTGACAGTCAGAATGGACCATTTCCCTGTTGGTGGTTTTGGTTTTTTGAGTCTTTTGTTGTTGTTATTGTTTTCTTTTTAAAGATATATTTACTTGTTTTATGTGTATATGCCTGCATGAGTTTTTGTGTACGGGAGCCCAATGAGGCCAGAAGATGTGAGATCACATGGAGCTACAGGCAGTTTGACTGATGTGTGTGCTGGGAACCAAACTCAGGTCCTATAAGAACAATAAATGCTCCTTACTGCTGGCCATCTCTCCGTCCTTCCCTATTGTTTTCAGTACTGGATGTTTAGGTGTCTTGTTTGTTCATTTTGGTTTTTGTTGTTGTTTTCCACAACTGAGATTTCACTGGTTGAGGATGGGTACACAGACATTTCAGTTCTTAACACATGTACCAAAACTCTGAAAAGCTACCACGTATTGCAGTTTCTTTTTGAAGAGTTATTCCAATGGTAGAAACAGTTCTACTAGAAACATGAGACTAGATATAATTGAAAATATTCCACACATAAATGCAAGACTGAGACTCCAAATTGCCTTTTGGTTTGGTTTGGTTTTATCCACTTTTCATTGTAGGATATAAAACTAGCCCCTCAGTGTTATGCTGGCCGCCAAGACAGTCACAGCTCCTTAGTTTTACAGTTTACAGGAATCATCAAAATACATTATTTCTGTAGTATGCCCTCCTTTAAGACATTAGTATAATTTGCTTACGGTTGAAAGAGGGCTTGATTTGGTTTCTATTTGTCCTCTTGTTGTTGTTGTTATTTTGAGGCAGGGTCTCTTGTACCCCAGGCTGATCTTAAACTCAGGGTTGTAGCTAAGGTTGTCTTGGAACTAACTCCTAATCTTCCTGGCTCTACCTCCTTTGCTGGGATTAGAGGTGTGCACCACACACCCAGCTTTTCTCTCTCCTTTTTTAAGTTGTGCATCATAATGTGCGGGTTCCCAAGTTGTTTGTTCTGTAAAATAACTTCTTCCTTTCTTTCTTAAGGGAGATCACCCAGCTTGGTTTACAGTTGTGGCTTCCAACTTCCTTCCTGTTCATATCACTTCTTTGGACAAGGCAGATGCTCTGTATGAGAAGCACGCAGGCCACGAGTTGCTGCTGGTAAGCAATGCAGCTGCATGGCTGCATAGCTACAGGAGCTGATGGAGCCTGTGTTGAATCAGTTTACCTCGGCTAGCGCTCATCTCACCTCAGTCTCTGAGCATTCTAATTATAAACCAAGAATGCGTTCTACGTGAAAAGGGGTGTTGGTTTGGTCTGAGCCAACAAAAGCCGTGGCAGTGTATTTTTCTCTGCGGTGCACTGTCCAGTATGGTAGCCACTAGCCACATGTAGCTATCTGTGTTTACGTGCTCTAGTTAGAAAGAAATACATGAGTGGATCTCTGTGAGTTCGAAGCCAGCCTGGTCTACAGAGTGAGATCCAGGAAAGACACAAAGCTACACAGAGAAACCCTGTCTCGGAAAAAAAAAAAAGAAAGAAAGAAAAAATACATGAAATTTAAAATGTGCTTCCTTAATCACACAGGCCACTTTTGGTTTTTTCGAGACAGGGTTTTTCTGTGTAGTTTGGTGCCTGTCCTGGATCGAGTGCTGGGATTAAAGGAACCACCACCACCCAGCAACAGGCCACTTTTCAAGTGCCTGATAGTCACATTACTACAGAAAATCATATTGGTCAAGCTAGGTAAAAAACAAGTCACAGAAGCTGTAAGTCTGTTGCAGTCTCAGAGAACCAGGTCCAAGGCTGCACACAGGGTTTGCAAAAAATCCACAGTGTTGGCAGAAACCAGGCTTTTCTATTTGAGGGGAAGGAAAAAGAAACACACACATTCTGATGGTAACTTTATTTTTTTCATGTTGAATCTGAATCTCTTTGTTTTTGTACAGCTGTATATATCCAACAGAAAGCTTTAGGCAATATAAAAAGTTACATTTGAGGGTCACATAATCATTCTTGAGTAAACAATAAGAAGCAGAGCCATTTTGATAACACACATGAAAAAAAAAATGTCAGCTTCCTAATTAGTGGGGCAGCTGCAGCTATAAAGGAAGATCCAGCCATTCCATTACCTAATTAAAGAAATAGCCTATGGGGGCTGGAGAGATGGCTCAGCAGTTAAGAGCACTGGCACTCTTCCAGAGGTTGTGAGTTCAATTCCCAGCAACCACATGGTGGCTCACAACCATCTGTAATGAGATCTGGTGCCCTCTTCTGGCCTGCAAGGACACATGCAGGCAGAATACTGTATACATAATAAATAAATCAAAAAACAGAAAGAAATAGCCTGTAAAGATTACAAGAGGAAAGAGAAGTCTAAGGAAGAAATAAGAATTTTTTTGGGGGGGGGGGGTTGGTTTTTGGGGACAGGGTTTCTCCGTGTAGTTTTGGTGCCTGTCCTGGATCTCACTCTGTAGACCAGGCTGGCCTCGAACTCACAGAGATCTGCCTGCCTCTGCCTCCCGAGTGCTGGGATTAAAGGCGTGTGCCACTACCACCCGGCAGAAATAAGAATATTATGTACTATTTTATATTTCCTTTTTTTAAATTTAATTTTATTTATTATGTATACAGTGTTCTGCCTGCATGTATGCTTGCAGGCCAGCAGAGGGCACCAGATCTCATTACAGATGGTTGTGAGCCACCATGTGGTTGCTAGGATTTGAACTCAGAACCTCTGGAAGAGCAGCCAGATGCTCTTAACTGCTGAGCCATCTCTCCAGCCCCCTATTTTATATTTCTTAAGTGTAACTAACATTTAGACTAACATTTCGTGATTAACAAACATAAAAGTGTCCGTTTCTCTTGGTCTGAAATGTTTACAGAGAGCAAAGGCTCTGCTCAGGGAAAGAGCAAGCTACACAATTCATGCCCAAAGTTGGCCCTTGGCCTTGGAACCTGTAACCTTCATCTCTTTACAGAGCGTCTATGCTCATCAGTTGAATGTTTGGAGGATTTTTTTTTCCTATGCATTTTTATCCATCATATACTTTTTAATGCCATATAAGATGGTTTTTGTCTTGTTTTTTGAGATAGCCAAGAGGGCATGATGTTATAATCCATCACTTGGAAGGCAAAGGCAGTAGGATCAGGAGTTTAAGACCACCCTTAGCTGCCCAGCAAGTTTGAAAATAGCACTGGAGCTGGGCGGTGGTGGTGCACACCTTTACTTTAGTCCTAGCATTCGGGAGGCAGAGGCAGGCAGATCTCTGTGAGTTTGAGGCCAGCCTGGTCTACAGAGTGAGTCCCAGGACAGCCAGGACTGTTACACAGAGAAACTTTGTCTGGGAAGAAGAAAAAGAAAGGGGGGTGGGGAGGGAGGAAGGAAGGAAGGAAGAAAGAAAATAGCATTGGGTCTTATTTCAAAAAACAAAAAGGAAAAAGTAAGTCTCTTTCTGTAGCCTAAGCCAGCTTCAAACTCCTTCCCCTAGCCTCCCAAATGTAGGATTATGGCTTTGATCACCATATCCAGCCATAATTAGTGGGTTTGGGGGTTTGTTTTGTTTTAGGACAGAGTCTCACTATCCAGCCCTGGCTGGCCTAGTACTCAACTGTGTAGACCAGGCTGGCCTTGAACTCAGAGAGATCCACCTCCCTCTGCCTCCTGAGTGCTGAGATCAGAGTGTGAGCCACCATGCCCAACCCCAGTTAACGGAATTTAATTTGAAATTCAGACATTTTGTTGTTTTATCGGAAGGTTCCAGTGGGTGGGAAAGAGCGAATGGCCGAGTTCCCTCGCCTCGTGGCTGAAGACATTACCCTACAAGGAGGCGGAGGGTCTGCAGCAGTGGCTGACATCAAGTTCTCCTCTGCAGGTAATGGACTCTTTGGTTGTTGGTGGTGTTCATTTTTCTTCTTGTTTTTTCAAAGATGGGGCTTCTCTGTGTAGCCCTGGCTGTCCTGGAACTCAGGCTGTAGCCCAGGCTGGCCTCAAACTCAGAGAGCTGCCTGCCTCTGCCTCCCGAGTGCTGGGATTAAAGATGTTTGCTACCATCACCTGGCTGGTAATGTGCTCTTAAAAAGCAGAACATAGGCCATGTATGGTGGCATGTGCCTAAATCCCAGCATTTGCAAGGTGGAGGCTGAAGATCAAAGCCAGTCTATTCTACATGAGATTCTGGCTCAGCAAAACTGCCTTTGGCCTAATACCAAGTATAAAAATTAAAATCTGGGTATTGTGGCACACCCATGATCCCAGCATTTAAGAGGCTGAAGGAGAAAAAAAAAAAAAAAAAACTAGTATGGTAGCTCACATCTATAATCCTGTCACTCAGCTGAGGCAGGAGGGTTGCTTCAAGTGCAAGGCCAGCCTGTGTTACATAGTGAGTGTTAAGCCAGCCTGAGCTATAGAATAAAACCTCGCCTAACATGCCTAACAGCTCTGTGGTTAAGAGCACTTGCTGCAGCTGGGTATGGTGATGAATGCCTTCAATTCCAGCACTAGGGAGGCAGAGGCAGGTGAGTTGAGGCCAGCCTGGTCTAGAGTGAGTTCCAGGACAGCCAGGGCTACACAGAGAAACCATGTCTTAAAAAAATTTTTTTTGAAGAGCACTGGCCGCTCTTATAGTGAACCTGGGTTGGTTCCCAGCACCGACATCAGGAAGTTCACAACCACCTATAACTCCAGGGCCAGGGATCTAGTACTCTCTGACATACTCACACAGCCTAAAATAAAAAGATTTTTTTTTAAGACAAAGGATTACTAACTTGAATATATGTTTATAGAAACATGCCCTCTTCTAAGACACACTCATTTATTTATAAAATGTACCTTGTTCTAAAAATGTCTTTGTACTTTTCACAAGTGTATTAAATGACTTTTCATTATAATGTTTTTAAGGACTTTATTTAATGTAGGTCAGTCCTTACCTTCTGACTTGCTGAGGCTAATTTTTGTGACTTAAATTCAGATACCAAGCTAGCTAGCCCACAAGCTTCTAGCCAATACTTCTTTCTCTGTCTCACATCAGGAATACTGGAGGTCCAAATGTATTCCACCATATCTGGGGTGTTATTTCTTGAGACACGGCTTCATTAGGTAGCACTTACTGTTTGGATAACTTGGAACTCACTATGGACCAGACAAACTCTGAAACCACACAGATCCTCCTGCTTCTTCCTCTAAGTGCTAGGATTAAAGGCATGTTCTGCCACACCAGCTCATTTATTTTAATGTGTGGTTGTGTGTGGGTATGTGCACTTGAGTGCAGGTCCCACAGAGGCCAGAAGAGGGCATCAGATCTCCTCCCACCCCCCCAGCTGGAGTTGGGTGTGATATGAGCCACCCAGTGTGTTTGGGTCCTCTTAAGAACAATATGCACTTTTTTACTTTTTTTTTTTTTTTTTTTTTTTTTGGTTTTTCGAGACAGGGTTTCTCTGTGTAGCTTTGTGCCTTTCCTGGAACTCACTTGGTAGCCCAGGCTGGCCTCGAACTCACAGAGCTCTGCCTGGCTCTGACTCCCGAGTGCTGGGATTAAAGGCGTGCGCCACCGCCGCCCGGCCAAGACAGGATTTTTCTGTGTAACAGAGCCTTGGCTGTCCTGGAACTCGCTTTGTAGACCAGGCTGGCCTCAAACTCACAGAGATCCACCTGCCTCTGCCTCCCCAACTCCTAGCGTAAAAGGAATGCGCCACCAACCGCCTGGTTCACAGCTAGCTTTTTATGTGAGTCTCGGGGGTTGCACTGAGGTTGTCAGTCTCGCACAAGTGCTTTTACCTCCTGAGCCACCCCAGTCTTGTGTGCTTTGATCCGATTCCCTTACTGAGATGACTGATAGCGGCGTTTTCTGTTCTCTTGAACGTCTTCTAGGCTGGGTTGCGGTAACTCCTTACTCTAAGGGCACACTGCATCTCCGAGGTTACACGCCGGAAGGGACTGTTCTGACTGTCCAGCCCCCTGTCTTGCCATATATCGTTCACGTCAAAGGACAGCGAATCAAGAAAAGCGTGGCCTATAAAACCAAGAAGCCTTCGTCCCTGATATACAATCTGGTGAAGAAAGCTAGATAAGTGAGGCAGACCTGGATTCACACTGGATAGTAACAATATTGAAATATGTTGAAATCTGTATTAAATATAAAGATAATAAAGATAAGTGAGGCAGACCTGGATTCACACTGAATAGTGACAATATTGAAATATGTTGAAATTTGTATTACGTATAAAAATAGTAGACACACAAAGGCCTATCATTTTTAAAGATCTTAAGAGTGAACTTTTTAAACTATTTGAGGCTATGCTTATTGATAATATACTGTTTATAAATAAAAGTTATTTTTTCTTGAGGATACACATATCTGTGGTCCAAGTGTATATAAGAGGAGGCCTATGGGCTGGAGAGATGGCTCAGAGGTTAAGAGCACTGACTGTTCTTCCAGAGGTCCTGAGTTCAATTCCCAGCAACCACATGGTGGCTCACAACCATCTGTAACGAGATCTGGTGCCCTCTTCTGGCCTGCAAGCACACATGCTGTATACATAATAAATAAATCAATAAATCTTAAAAAAAAAAAAAAAAAAAAAGAGGAGGCCTACATCCTTCAGATTTCTATGGTGACCAGGTTTCGTTTCTTTTATTTGGAGTGGATGATTGACAAAGCATGAACAAACAACTAATCCCCCAGAATACAGTGGCTGCCTTCCATGTCGTCACCCAAGGATCATAATCATTTGCTACCAAGACGGCCAATAGAAATTCTCTAAAGGAGGAAAGATTTATTTTAGCTTCCTGTCCCAGAAATTTCAATCCAGAGTTGGCCCTAAAAGAACATGATGGCATTGGACAGCCATTCACAACTGGAGGACCAGGAAATACAGTACCAGAACCAGGGGTTTGGCTGTAGCCTTCAAAGACCAGTTCCTAGTAACCCACTTCTGCCAACTAGGCTTATGTCTCAAGTGAGCCTGGCAGTGGTGGAGCACGCCTTTAATCCCAGTACTCAGGAGGCAGAGGCAGGCAGATCTCTGTGATTTTTGAGGCTAGCCTAATCTACTGAGCAAGTTCCAGAACAGCCAAGGCTACAGAGAAACAGTCTTGAAAAAAAAGAAAAAAAGGGGAAAGATGGTTCAGAAGTTAAGAGCACTTCCAGAGGACCTGGGTTCAATTCCCAGCACCCACATGGCATCTTACAACTGTAACTCCAGTTCCAAGGGACCTGATACTCATGGCAAAACACAATGCACATTAAAAAAACAGTTCAAAATGAAGGGCTGGAGAAATGGCTCGGCTGTTAAGAGTACTTGCTGCTCTTACAGAGGATGCAGGTTCAATTCCCTGCACCCACGTGGCAGCTCACAACCCTCTGTAACCCCACTCCCAGGAGACCTGCCCCGTCCTACAGTTTGGTCTAAGAAACTGGGAATGAAAAAAGGACAGAAGACAGCAGCGCCATTACCAGGGGGGCTGTGTTGGCTCTGATGGAGCAGCACCAAGAGCACAACCTGGACTTGAGAGGGTTTATTACATACAACATGGGTAGGAGTTAGCGAGTCTCCACAGGAGGTCTCTAGAGAAGCAGTCTCAGACGACAGTCATCCCAGAGGAGGAAGCTGCTGTGGCTAGTGTTCTTGTACCCAGCCAACATTCACCCTCAAACCAGAGGAAGACTTTGCCATCTCTCCAGGCCTCACCCCACAGAAGGGCTTTGTCCTTTCCATGGGTCCTTGACATGGCTGTGTCTACCAAACAGTGCTTATCACGCAGCAATTCCTTTGCTCCCTACAAGATCCAGAGCACCAGGCATGCATGTGGTGCACAGACATACATGCTAACAAATGTATCTATACATACAAAATTAAGGGGGAAAAAAATGGACGCTTCAGATTTTGATGGCAACTCAAGTTGTCATCGTTTCCTAACAAGCATGAAATGGAACAGAATGTGAAAAGCAGACAACTTCCCTATTCAAAAGGGGGAAAGGGATGTTCCACACATTAGCTACTGTCCAGTAGTCACAAGGCCACACCCACAAGCTGAGAGGCGTAGGAGGAAATGGGAACAGTTAGGGCTTTAGCAAGGGAGAGTGGACACTGGAGCAAAAGTTGGAAACGAGAATGTACCTTACACGTCTTCAAAGGATCTGAGTCAAACATGAGAGCCCAGGCCTGTGATCTCAATACTAGGAGGCTAACTCTGTCAACCCTCCGTGAGTTCAAGTCTGCAGAGTAAGACCCCGTCTCACAAATGAATGGCTAGGCTCGTAGCTCAGTTGGTAGGATGCTTGCCTAGCATGTATGAAATCCTGGGTTCCATTCCCAGCAATACAGAAAGCATGCATGGTGCCACATACCTGTAATCCCAGCACTCGTGGTAAAATCAAGAGTCAGAAGTCCAAATCCAAGGTCATCCTGGGCTACATTGAGCTGAGGTCAGCCTGAAATACATCAGACTCTACATAAAATTAAAAATCTTAAATAAAAGGATTCAGGGTCTTTCTAGCATGAGAGGTCTGTTTTCCAAGTATGATAAAAAGACAAACTATTTCCTAACTTTGTCTGTACACAGCTGTATCACAAGTCAGTAAAGCTTTTGTTATTCCTATGAAGACTGCCCCAGCTAGGTACAATCGTGGGCATGTGGCCAGATCCTAATGCTGAGATACATGACCATGGGATAAGCTGGGTCAAAATGAACTAGTGAGACCCATATTTTCATCCAACATGTGAGAGGTCTAATGCATTTCACACTCCCAGCCAGCATGGGATATACACCTATTATCTCAGCACCTGGAAGACTGAGGCAGAATAGCAAGTTTATTCAGGGCAAGGGGAGGTGGTGGTGGTGGTGGTGGTTTTGGAACAAGGTCACATGTAACCCAGGCTAGCCTCAAACAAGATCCTCCTGCCTCAGCCTCTTGAACTGGCATTATAGGCACTCACCACCACACCTGTCTCCATACAGTATTTCAAAGTGAGTTCTGTTGGAATTTGGTGAAGGCAGTTCTTCAGATGTACAGCTGATTTCAGGAAGTCCGTCATCCCTGGTCTGGAGAAACAATGCTGGGGGCAACCTGGCCTGTTCATCACTCCCAGAACACCTACCCCTCCAATGTTGAAACACGGCACTGCTAGAGGACAGCCAAGGTTACCCAGTGAGACCCTATGGCAAAAAAAAAAAAAGTGGTTGTTTGTTTTCAAGACAGGCTTTCTCTGTGTAGCCCCAACTGTCCTAGAACACAATTTGTAGACCAGGCTGGGCCTTGAATTCCTCAGCCTCCCACGTGCTGGATTAAAGGTGTGCACCACCATGCCTGGCCTCATTTTACTATTTTTTAACAGGGAAAACTGAAAATATAATTTAGGCTTCATTTATTTAAAATTAGGGTCTCGTGTAGCCCTGGCTGGCCTGGATTCCTGATACTCTGCCCTCTCTTTCTCTAGTGCTGGGATTACAGGCATGTATCAGCAATTTAAATTAATTTATGTGAGAAGAACAGAAGGAAAAGCTGAATACTAAACAGATAAATTAGATGGATGGGGTGGTAGAGACTTGTAGTCCCAACAGCTGGTAGACAGAAGAATTCAATAAAAACTTGACGCAAAAAAACAGATGAAACCTATTACTTAGCATACTTTATATACTAAGCCATTATGTTCTACATTAACCTACTTTTAAGGCAGACACACTGCTAAATATCTATCATTGTTACAAAACACCTGGGAAATAGCAGGAGTGATGGTTCAGCTGTTAAGAACACTGACTGCAACCCAGTGTGGTGGTGCATGCCTTTGATGTCAGCATTCAGGAAGTAGAGGCATATAGATCTGTGAATTCAAGGCCAACGTGGTCTACAAAGCAAGTTCCAGGACAGCCAGAGCTATAACACCCTGTCTCAAAAAACCTAAAGTCCTTTCCGCCATCTTTCCGAGCCGTCATCATGGTGAGCATTAATGTCCTGGCTGATGCCCTCAAGAGCATCAACAATGCTGAGAAGAAAGGCAAACGCCAGGTCCTCATCAGGCCCTGCTCCAAAGTCATCGTTAGGTTCCTAACTGTGATGATGAAGCATGGTTACATGGATGACTTTGAAATCATTGACGACCACAGAGCTGGGAAAAATAGTCGTAAACCTCCCAGGTAGGTTGAACAAGTGTGGAGTGATAAGCCCTAGATTTGATGTGCAACTCCAAGACCTAGAAAAATGGCAGAACAATCTGCTCCCATCCCATCAGTTTGGCTTCATTGTACTGACAACCTCAGCTGGCATCATGGTCCATGAAGAAGCAAGACGAAAACACACAAGAGGGAAAATCCTAGGATTCTTTTTCTAGAGATGTAAAACACAATAATAAAACGCCTCCATGGACTGTGAAAAAAAAATACTGCTCTTCCAAAGCCCCAGGTTTGAACCTCAGCACCCACGTGGCATCTAACAGCTGTGTGTTAACTCCAGTTCCAGAGGATCAGACACCTTCTTCTGGCCTCTGCAGGTACCACGCATGTACATGGTGCATGGACATACATGCAAACAAAACACCCATACACATAAGGAAAACTAAAAATACCTGGAGAATATCAACTTAAGGGAAGATTTATTTGGGCTCAGCTTCAAAAGATTTTGTCCATGGTCTGACCTATTGTTTGTGGGCTGTGGTGGTTTGAATAAGATGTCTGCTCTAGTCCCTGGCATCTGAACGATTGGTTCCCGGTTGGTGGCTATTGGGGGAGGCTTTGGAGTAACCTTGCTGGAGGAAGTGTCATTGAGGGCTGGTTTTGAGAACTTAATGATGGGCACCATTTCAAGTTTACTCTGCTTCTGGCTTGTGCTGTGAGCTCCAGGTGTCTCTGCCACCAGGCCTGGTACTCCCTACCACTCTTCCCTTCTGCGATGGTGAAAGAATCTTATCCCTCTGGAACCACAGGCCCAGATAAAGCCTTCTGTAAGCTGCCTTGGTTGTGATGTTTAATTACAACAGCCGAAAAGAACAGGGGCCTGAGGCAGAAATGACCACTTTGTGTTTTTAATTCATCCCGAGTGTCAGGACTTACATGTGTCGTCTCCCAGAGTCTAAATTCGTTCGTGGTCTTTGCCATCCTCGCTTCCTGTAGCAGCCAGAGGGAAGCAGAGACCAGATGTGATCCTGTGTGCCTGCTTCCTGATCAAACAGTCCTGGAGATGGAGGCTGGCTTCCTGCAGATGTCTAGCTTGAGCCAAGTTGTTTTCCTCACTGAGCAGGAACCCAGTGCTCAGGCAGGGGCGAGCTCTCCTGATCATTTCCCAGGGTGCCTCTCCCAGTTGGCTCCTGTGTCACAGCAAGAGAACCATGCCCATTTTCTCTTGGCTGCTGTCC